TTGGCGCTTCCAAGTTGCCGCTCCTCCAGACTCCAGTCTGGGACAGTGAGGCAGAAGGAAACCCAGGGCGCACACCTCTGTGTGGTTCCTTGGGTCCCGAGGTTCCCAGCCCCTCTGCCTTCTACTCTCCACCTTTTCGAGTCTTCTTCGGTTTGTCTTATATACAGTGTCCAGGGTTTTATTTGTACTTAGTGGGAGGCATAGGGAACATTACATCTACCCTATCTTGAAGCAGAAATTTCCAGTGACCATTTTCAAAAGGGCTTTGGGCTGAGGAGAGTGCCTAGGCCACCAGCAGCCTCTTCCCAGAGAGCAGCTGGAAGCGTAGCCTCTAGTTGCGGGGTTTGCAGGGCGTGGCTCAGTTTAATCGGAAGGGAAGAGGCTCGCGGGTGTGACTTTTGCACCACAGGTCTGGTGCTTCTTCCCAGGCGGCCTGCCTGAAACAGAACTCAGTGCCGTCTTTTGGGTCCTCAGTGTTGACAAGAGTTACCTGCTTCTCCTTTCCCCGCTGCCCCTTAAAGTAAAACCCCAGCTGCCCAGCCCGAAAACAGCAGCAGAACTACATGCCATTAAGAGTTTCTAGAGCCCACTTCCTGTGCCAGCCGCCTTTGGGGTCGCCACAGTTCGTACGTCAGGTTATTGGGGGGCTCCCAGGAAGAGGGTGCCTTCGGGCCTGTCGGAGGCCCCGCCCCGCCCCAGGAAAGATGAGGCAAGAGAGGGAGGAATGCTGCCCTACAAAACCCCTGTCTGCTTGTGAGCCTCTCCCACGGGGACAGAGGCTGTGGTGGGTGTTTCTGGACTCACTGGCATGGCTGGGTCTGCTGTTGCCGTTTTTAGACAGTCTGAGAAATAGTGGGAGCAGCAGCACCTCTGGGGCACCCTTCCATGCCTGTGGGGTTACCTGAGAGAGCGGGGTGTCCTGGTGTGTGGCTCTCCAGGCCTGTGGACGGGGTTCCAGGCGCTGATGAGTTGAAGGAGGGCGGCGGCCAAGCCGCTCTGCACTGGTGGACGGGGCTTCTGCCTCTGTCTTCACTTTAGCTGTCCCTGTGCCAGCGAGTCCTCTCCGCCCCAGGCCACCCTCCTTCTCACAGGTTGGTTGTTCCCTGTTTGTTTGCTTGCTTGGATGGCAGTGCAGGGTGGCAGGTACCTTCCTGTCCCCTGACTACCCTAGCGTTGCGCACTGGACATCTGGAGGTTCTCGTTGTCACCCAGCTGTGGACGCCAAGTCTGCCCTGTTAGCCCTTTGCCCCACTCCCGGCCCCAGCAGACCTGAGCTGCTGCCTTGGGCTTCCCTCTGGATGCTGTCTAGCATGTTCTAGCTCACTTGCTACAAACCAGGGGACCAGCTCATTGTCCTTGGAAACTTTTGTCCCTGTCTCTTTGACTGAAGTTTCCCAAATCTGGCTGGTGGGGGGTGCAGAGCACAGAGTCACTTGAAAACTTACGTAGTGAATCCCTGCCCCCCCCCCACCCTC